CCCCCCAATGCAGCCCCCGCTCCGCCACACGCCGCTCCTCGACCCACCATGTCCTACTCGGCCGGGTCCTACAATGACGACGACGATGTCTTCCTGACGTCGGACGCGTCCCCGCCTGCCTCCTCCTCGGACGGCGAGGACTTCACCCCGAGTGGGAGCTCCTCCTCCGAGGGCGATGACAGCGGGTCCGATTATGAGGCCGGCCCGGCGGCCCGGCGGCGGAAGCCCGCCACGCCGGCCAGTCGACCGGCCGCCGCGCGCGCGGCGCCCTCCTCGGCCACGCGCTTCGGCGGCTTTTCCTCCTCCTCTGCCTCGCCCTCGCCCTCCGGGTCGCCGGCCTCCACGGCCAGTGTCACCTCGCCCCTGCATCTGAACAATTTGAGTGCCTTCGCCTACCGGCCTCCCGGGGCCTCGGGCGCCGGGTTCGGCGGGCCGCGCAGCGTCGCCCCGGCCATGTCGGTGGCCGCGCCGGTGGCCGCTCCAGCCGCCTCGGCCACCGGCGGCGGCCGCATCCGCGCCCGCGGCCGCTTGCAGCTGGACGGCGATTTCGATGAGGACGACCAGGAGATCATCGCCTCCGGTCGAGGGGGCAGTGGCCGGCGCTCGGCCGCCGCCGCCGTTGCCGCCGACCCGGACGACTTCCCCTGGGAGGACTTCGCCGACAACCGCCGGCGGAGCTCTCGCCGGGCCGCCACCGCCACCCGGGCCATCCCCTCCGGGCGGAGCATCTATGCCGATGACGGCGGCGCCGCCTTCGACGATGATGACAACTTCATCGTCGACGATGATGACCCGGTGCAATTTGCCTCGGACGACGATGACGACGCCTTCCTCGATGATGGCGAGGACTCCGGCGAGGAGTACACCCTCAAGGGCCCGCGGCGCCGGGCCGCCGCCTCCAGCAGGCGAAAGTCCTCCTCGGCCGGGGCCGGGCGCAAACGCTCGGCCTCCGGGGGCACCTCCTCGCGCGGGTCCCGCCGGTCGCTGGCCGGCTCCCGCGGCGGCGACCATGATGACCTGATCGAGCCGCAGCCCGAGTCCTATGGCCGGGTGTCGCGCGTGCGCACCTCGCGCCTGTCCTCCACCCTCGGGTCCGATGAAGATGACGAGGGTCCCACCTGGTCCAACCGCAAGCGCATTGCCGGTCTCTCCCGGCGGTCCAGCAGCCGCGCCGCCTCGGCCCCGGTGTACAGCTACGCCGAGGCCGACGACGACACCGACCTCATGGATGAGGACGAAATCCAGGAGCGCCAGGCCGCCGCCGAGCAGCAGGCCTACTACGAGCCGGAGGAGGAGCCCGAGCCGGAGGATGCCATCGATCGCGTGTGCGATGTGCGCAAGACCGAGCGCGGTGCGTGCCCCGGCCTTTGCTCCCGCCCTGTGCCCTGTCGAGAGGGCGTGGCCCCATGCTCCGGGGCCCCTCCCTCGGGCTGTCCTCCCTTTCTGCTTTTCTTTTTTTCTTTTTTTTCTTTTTCCCATGCGTGAAGCTGACTCCGGGAGAACAATGTCCCTCCCTCGCAGATGGCATCGAGGTCAACGAATATCTCATCAAGTGGCAGGGGTTCTCGCACTTGCACAACACCTGGGAACTGGCGCAGGACATGCTCGGCAGCCGCGAAGCCGCCATGAGCCTCGGCCTGTCGGTCCTGCCGCGCACCGCCCGCGAGCAGGGCACCCCGGTCAAGGGCTACAAGCGCATGGAGAACTACATCCGCCGGCGCCAGGTGCAGGAGCGCTCGCTGGCCGCCCTGTCGGCCGAGGAGCTCGAGCAGGCTCGCATTGACGAGGAGATGGAGCGCCATCTCCTGCGTGAGCACTGCCGCGTGGAGCGGGTTGTCAGCGTGCGCACCGATGACCTCGGCGAGCCGGAGTACTTCTGCAAGTGGCGCGGCCTCCCCTATGCCGAGTGCACCTGGGAGGCGGCGGCCCTGGTGGCCAAGGACTTCGCAGCCGAGATCGCGGACTTCGAGCAGCGCTACCGGTCGCTACGCGTGCCGAGCCGGTGCGCTTGTTCTCCCTGCCCCTCTCTTTGCCTTCCCTCCCCTTCGACTTCTCCCTTCCTTGGCCCTCCCCCTCCTTCCTCCTCCTTTTCTGACCCTGACCCGGCGCGGGGTTCCCCCATTTCCCCTGGTGCTCCCCCTCTTTGTCTCTTCCTCTGTGCATGTGTGTGTCTCTCTCTCTCTCGCGCTCCCTCCCATCCCTGGCCATTGGACATCCCCATCACACAGGTCCCAATCCATCCGCAACCAGCGCATGGAGTTCACCCCGATCACCGAGCAGCCAAGCTACATTGTTGGCGGTGAGCTCCGCGACTACCAGGTCATGGGTCTGAACTTCCTGGCCTCTGCCTGGTCACGCAACACCAATGTCATCCTGGCCGATGAGATGGGTCTCGGCAAAACCTGCCAGACCATCTGCATGCTGTCCTACCTCTTCCATTCGCGCAACATCTACGGGCCCTTCCTGCTGGTGGTCCCTCTGTCGACAATCGATGGTGCGTCCGTCCGGCGGCTGGATTGCCTGCATTTCCCCGCATTTCCCCGCACTTTTCTCGCATTTTCCCGCATTCCCCATGTACGCGTGTATGCCGACTACCATGGACTTACGCACGCACGCACGCACGCACGCACATCCCAGCTTGGCAGAATGAGCTCCGGCGCTGGGCTCCCGCCATGAACGCCATCCTCTACCTCGGCAACGCCAAGTCCCGCGAGGTCATCCGCCAGTATGAGTTCTACGAGGAGGGCAGCAATGACCCTTCTGCTCCGCGGTTCAATGTCCTGTTGACCACCTTCGACATGGTCCTGCGCGACTTTGCCTACCTGTCGTGCGTATAGCCTCGCCGCATGCATGCGCCCCCGCCCCCCCCCCCACACACACACACACACACACGCAGACGCCCCTGTTGCTTACTCCGCCCCATCCACCTGCACACATGCCAGCCCCATCCGCTGGGCATATCTCGGCGTGGATGAGGCCCATCGGCTGAAGAACAGCGAGTCGCAGCTGTACGAGCACCTGATCTCCCTGAATACGGCCAACCGCCTGCTCATCACCGGTACCCCGCTGCAGAATGCCATCCGCGAGCTGTGGGCCCTGCTGCAGTTCCTCCAGCCCACGAAGTTCACCTCCCTCGAGGAGTTCGAGGCCACTTACGGCCGCTTCGAAGAGGCGGACCAGCTGCGCGAGCTCCATGAGACCCTCCGCCCGCACATGCTCCGGCGCCTCAAGCGCCAGGTGCTCAAGTCCCTGCCATCCAAGGTGGAACGGTATGTGACGACTCGCATGCCCGTGACTCGCCTGCTCGCCGCCTCCCCTGACCATGATGACCCCCCCCCCCCTCCCCACCTTCACCTACGCCGCGCATGAAGTATCCTCCGGGTGGAGATGTCCCCCAAGCAGAAGCTCTTCTACGAGTGGATCCTGGCCCGGAACTACACGGCCCTGGCCCAGGGCAACAAGGCATCCCAAACCAGCCTGCAAAATATCCTCATCGAGCTGAAGAAGCTCTGTAACCACCCGAACCTCACCAACCCGGAGGCCGCGCACGCCGAGGGCCAGGAGATCCTGTCCTCCGGGGCGGCGGATGCTCGCGAGCAGTACCTGAAGAATATGATCACCTCCTGCGGCAAGATGGTTCTCCTGGACAAGCTGCTGGTCCGGCTGCGCGAGGGCGGCCATCGGGTCCTGATTTTCTCGCAAATGGTCCGCATGCTGGACATCATCGAGGAGTACCTGCGCCTGAAGGGCTTCGGCTTCCAGCGCCTTGATGGCGGGACGAGCTCCGAGCAGCGCAAGCAGGCCATGGACCACTTCAATGCCGAGGGCTCGGCGGACTTCTGCTTCCTGCTGTCCACTCGTGCCGGCGGGTGCGTCCGCGATTTGTTGCTCCCTCCCCTGTCGCCGACCTCCGGTCCTGCCTCCTTCGGCCATTTCCTCCCTCTGTCTCTTTTTGCGCTCCATGGCAACACTAACACGGCGGGCTCTCTCTCTCTCTCTCTCTCCCCCTCTCCCAGTCTCGGTATCAACTTGGCCACCGCCGACACGGTCATCTTGTATGACAGTGACTGGAACCCGCAGAACGATTTGCAAGCCATGGCCCGTGCCCATCGTCTGGGCCAGAAGAATGTGGTCAACATTTATCGCTTCGTGACCAAGGTGTGTCCGGGGGGGGGGGGAGACGGGAATTTCGCATGTTTGTTTTCTTTCCCCGCCGGGGATCGACTGGCATGACCACTGACCCTCTACTGCCTTCTTTTCTTTCCCTTCGCCCATTTGCGCGCATAGAACACCGTCGAGGAGGATATCATCGAGCGCGCCAAGCGCAAGATGGTCCTGGACCACCTGGTCATCCAGCGTCTTGATGCCTCCGGCAACACGATCCTCAGCAAGAGCGGCTCCGGGTCACAGCCCAACTTCACGTGCGTACATTGGTCCCGGCCCTTCGCCTTTCCCGTGGCCCCCCCCCCCCCCCCGGCTTCCATCAGGCGCCCCCATGTTTGGTGCCGCATCTGCCGGCGCACGCGCACTCACCTACTCGCACACATGCGTCCCCTTGCACGCACACACACACACACACGCACACGCACACACACACACACACACACACACACACACACACACACACACACGCATACATGCACACACAGCAAGAGCGACATCCAGCAGATCCTCAAGTTCGGCGCACAGGATCTCTTCAAGTCCCGGAAGAAGGACGGTGCCAACCCCGATGACATGCCCGATTCCTCGATGGAGGCCCATCCGCCGCAGGAGGTGTGTCTTGTGCCCCTCCCGCCCCCAAAAGCCCACCAGCCCGATGCACATGCACACATATACACGCACAAGCACGCGCACGCACGCACGCACTAACATACACATGTGCGGGCCAGGACATCGATCTCGATGATGTGCTTGCTCGTGCGGAGACGCGCGACGCAGAGGCCGCGGCCGAGGACGACTCCGGCGCCTCGGAGTTGCTGAACTCCTTCCAAGTGGCGGACTTCGAGTGGGACAGCATCATCCCGGAGGAGGACCGCCAGCGCGCGGCCCAGGAGGAGAAGGAGCGCCAGGTGCGCGAGTCGCTCGGGTACACCGGGGACAATGCCGGCAACGCGGTCATGGTGGACGGAGTGCTGGTGCTGCCGCCGCGGCGGCGGCGGCGCCGCCTGCCGGGCGGGGCCCTGCGCGATCCCCATGGCGTCGACGCCGGCGACTCCGACGAGGACTATGAGGATGACTATTCCAGCGGCGTGTCCGGGTCATCCTCCTCCCTGGGAGGTGGGTTCGGGCGCGGTGGCGCTGGCGCCCGCCGGACCGAGTCCATCATCACCGACCGCAACATCCGCAATGCCCACCGGGCTCTGCGCAAATTCGGCTGGTCCATGATGACCTCCTCCTTCTCGGCCGAGTCGACCTACGGCGGGGAAGACATGACCGGGGACACGGCCCGCGCGCATGACGCCCAGTTTTTGGCCCTGGTCACGGAGGAGGCCAATCTCGGCAAATTCGACAACACCCAAATTCGCGACCTCTTCGAGATGATTGTCTCGCGCTGTACCACGGCCCAGCTGGCCGGCGAGCGGGAGCGCGAGCTGGAGCGCGAGCGCCTCCTGGAGGCCGGGGCCCGGCCTCCCAAGCTGCCGGCCGCCGGGGCCGCCATCCAGGTCGACATTCACGGGGTCAGCCTCAATGCCACGGACACGGTGGCGCGGATCCGGGATTTGGCCACCCTCCGGCAGCTGGTCCGTCGCCATGCCAATGACACGGACTTCCGCCTGAAGGGTCTGATCACCACCTCCCGGCCAACTTGGGACCACCCTTGGACCGACAAGGATGACAGCATGCTCCTGGTGGGCGTCCTGCGCCATGGGTATGGCCACTGGGAGCCCATCCGTCTGGATCCGAGCTTGGGCCTGGCCAAGAAGATCGTCGGCCGGGACCAAACGGCCGAGGCCGAGGCCGCCGGTCGGGCAGCCCCGACCCCGGGCTTCCGCCATGTGATGAAGCGCACGGACTACCTCTTCCGGCAGATCCGCCGCCGGGAGGATGAAATGTCCAATGGCGGCGGCGGGGCCGATGTCGGGTCGCCATCGGAGTTGTCTTCGGGCACGGCCTCCCCGGCGCCGACGGCCACGCGCTCCGGGCGCCAGAGCTCCCGCGCCGCGGCGGCCGCCGCGGCCGCCGCCTCCCGCGCGGCCAAGGCCGATCCCCCGGGCCCCCAGCCGACCCTCAAGCTGAAGATCAGCGGTAAGACCCTGTCTTCGGCGGCGGCCGCCGCCGCCGCGGCCGCGGCGACCGCGACCGCGACAACTAGCACGACGATGACGCCGGCTGCCACGGCCGGCGGCGCGGGTGCTGGTGCCGCCATGGGCGACGATGGGCCCGCCGGCGGCGAGGAGGGCCACTTCGATGGCGGCAAGTCCTCCGGCGGCTCCCCCGGTAGTGGGGCCAGCTCCTCCGCCGACGCCATCGCCGAGGATGCCGAGTGGATCGCATGTGAGCAGGCTCTCGGCGATGTGCTCGGCCATGTGGCGCAGATCGCCAATGCCCGGGACATCGCCGACCAGGCCAAGGTCCTGGCCGTGGTGCGGACCGCCCTGCAGGCCATCGGCGAGCGGGTGGACGAGGTGGAGTCCCGGCGCAAGCTGGGCCTGCGCCCGGTCCGCGGTGGGCAGACCTTCCCCCGGCGCGAGCAAATGTGGGCCTTCGTGGCCCGGACCATCGACCAGTCGGACTACGATGCCGGCATGCTGTCGTCACTGTATGCCAAGCTGGCCAAGAAGCGCCCGGCCACGCCGCAGCGCTCGGCCGCTCGGCCAGTCGGCATCGGGGCCGGGGCCGATTCCCAGGCCTCGCAGCATCAGCAGCAGCACCCGGTGTCCATCGGCGGCGGGACCACCAACTCGCGCCAAACCCAAACCCGGCTGACGCTGACCCTGAAGACCGATGGGTCGGGCGCGTCGCCGACCACCGCCGGCGGGCGCAAGCGCGACCTGGCCGAGCTGGGCGCCGATGATGCGCGCTTCTCCCCCAGTCGCAAGTCCCACCGGTCGCAGGGGCCTGCCTCCTCCTCCTCCTCCTCCTCCTCCTCCTCCGGCCGGCGCTCGGGCGCCAGCGGCGGCGGCGGCGGCAGCTCCTCGCGCCCTGGTGCCCGCGGCTCTTCAGATGACCTGGACTATGACCACCACCATCGTGACCATCGTGATCGCGATCGCGATCGCGACCACCAGCACTACCGGCCAGGGTCGCGGTCCCCCTCGCCGGACGCGGCGCGCTACCACCGGGGCGACCGCGACCACCACCGTGACCACCACTACCGCGAGCACCGGGGCGATCGCGACCACCATCGCGACCATGCCGGCCGCCGGTCGCCCCCGCCCTCCTCCCTGTCCTCCTCTCGCCGGGGGTCGCGCTCGGACGATGACCTCTACTGAGAGGGAGCACGGCATGCGCGTGCCCTCCCGTGCGCCCGTGCGAACGCCGCCCACAAGAGAGCGGCCCTGCCAGGGCAAGAGAAGGTGGTGCACCTTTGTACTTGACTTCCCCCCCCCCCTTCCTCCCTTCCCTTCCCTCCTTTCCCTTCCCACACACACACACACATATCATCCGGGCAGTAGCAGCAGCAGCAGTTTGTGAGATCCCACCCCCTCCCGCCGCCCCTCCAATGGTATGAGGGGCTGGGGCTCAGGGACCCGCGCCCCCGGGGGGCGTATGGGGAGCCCAAGAGAGAGAGGGGGGAGGGGGGCATGTTGTGTGCGCATCCACGCGCAACATCGTGCTGGGGCCCCCTTTCGTGGCTCCCTCGATGTGTTTTCCCCGCCGGGAAACGGGGCCCGCCTCGAAGGGGGCAGGGCGGACAAATAATGCGACCCCCGCCCCCGCTAGACACCACCGCCGGGGTGAACACACACACACACACACACACACACGCCCGCGCCCGCCCATGCCCACATTGCGTGCAGCCGCGCACACGCGCTTTTTACACACCCACAAAATAGACTGCTCCCCGCGAGATTGCCAGAGAGAGAGAGAGGGGGGGGGGGGGAAGAGAAACGGGATAATGCTCATCCATTGAAAGGACCAAAGAAAGCCCCCGCCGGGAGAGCCCCGGGTCCGTGTCGCGAACGGGATGCTCCGTTGGCATCTGCGGCGCCCGTTCCGCAGTCCCGCCCGGGGGGGGGGGGAGAGGGAGAGAGAGCGGGAGCGCGAGAGCGAAAGAGAGAGAGAGAGAGAGAGAGAGAGAGAGAGAGAGACAGCGGGGGGGGGGGGGCGGAGGGGGAGGGACGGGGCGCGACGCCTGCCCAGCCTCTCGCGTGGTTCGAGAAGGTGCCCCGGTGGCTTGCCGTTCCAGAAGGAATGACAGCTGCTCGGCCCGTCCGTGTTGAGCTCAGCCCGCCTCTGCCCGCCCGGCCGCCCGCCCGCCCGCCTGGGGCCATTGCGTATCCCGAGGTTTGCCCCGGCCCCCTTCCCCCGCCGATCTCCTCCCTCCGTCGGAACAACGCCTCCCCTAGTCAGAGCTAGACACGGACCTGAAAAGGCCACCCCCCGGCCCTGGAGCCTGGCGGCTGCCGGGGTATATGCACATCAGCCTCCCCCTCCCCTCCCCCTTCCCTCGGCCCCCTCTCCTCCTCCCTCCATCCCCGCTCATCCCCACCCATCCCCTGCCCCTCTGCCCTCGCCCCGCCCCCGGAATCACCATGGTTCGTCACCTCCCCTTCCCCCCCTGGCGCCGCGCCATCACGCCCCCCGCTGACTGTCTTGCCCCTCCCCACCAGGACTTCGCACTGCACCCGTCGGCCTCGTCCACCTCCTCGGCCTCCTCGGTCAGCACCCCGCTGTGCGGCACCCAGGGTGTCCGCGACCCCCTGCGCGAGGGCCGCGGCCTCGGCCATGCCACCGGCGAGACGATGGCCCCCCGTAATGCCGTGGTCGCCTCCCACCCGATGGAGCCCGTCGCCACTCAGGTACGCGCTTTGATTCGCCTCGCACGCGCGCGCCACACGCGCACACACACACACATATATATATACACCTATGCCGCATGAGGAGACCCTACTGACTCCTCCTCCTGTCCCCCCATGGCGGTCCCTCCCCGTCCCACACAGGCCGCCGCCCTCGAGGATGCCCGCCGCATGGCCGTCCTTCGTGGCACCCAGGGCCTCAATGCCCCGATCATGTACCAGATGGAGCGCCAGTGGGCCACCTCGCTGGCCTCCAACCGGGCCGGTCTTGCTGGCGTCCACGGCCTCTCCTCCAACCTGGCCTTCGACGTGCTGACCGGTCGCGATACCGACCTCGACGTGCAGGATGTCTATGGCGGTGCGTCCCCTGCTCTCCTTCCCCTGCCCGATGGTGCCCATGTGCGCCCCGTCCACCGCCCCACTAACAGGCCCCCCCCCCCCTCCCCCTCCTCCCCGCGGGCCTTCCCCGTGCACACAGTCATCGATGTTCCCCGCGCCCCCATCTCCGTCCACGCCCAGATGGAGGAGCGCCTCCACATGCGCTTCTAAGCAGACATACACACCGGCCAGTCACCGCTCCTGTCCCTTACCCAAACAGCGAAGGGGACGCCCTTGTACAATATATCTATCTATCTATCGGTATATCTTCTTGGAGGAAAAGGCCATCAAGGCAGGAAGGGGCGGGGGGGGGAGAGAGAGGTGAAGAAGAGGGGCGACTGCGGCGTCCCTCCTGTTGGGATGCCCTGAGACATTTACACACACACACACACACACACTGCCCCCCTTCCCTCGGCCCAAGTCCAGCCAGGGGCAGCATATGGCTACCAGCCCTACTTCTGGCGGTTCCGCTTGCGCGGCGGCAAGTCCACCTGCGGCGGGGCAAGCGGGCCAATGACCTCCCGCCACAGGGCCGGCGGCTCCCACACCGGCGGCAGGTCCGGCTGGGCCACCCCGGCATCGGCATACTCCTCGGCCGGGGCTGGCACCGTGGCATTCCGCTCCCAGGCCACGCTGGCAGACCAGTCCTCTGGCAGGGCTGCCCCTGTGGCCTCGGCGTCCGGGACACACGCGCGCCGGGCCAGCAGCCGACGCAGCAGGTGCCCCACCACCGCCGAACTCAGGCTATTGCCCAGCAGCTCGAAGGCGTGGCGCGGCACGGCGGCGATCTCCGGCGGGAAGGTGAACTCCCGCCCGGTCGAGGCGCCACCCTCGTCGCCGGCAGGGCCGATCCCCGGAACAGCCGGCCACAGGCCATGTGCGTGCGGCGTGAAGCCGTCTTTCACATTCAACATCACGCCCGGGCAGAAGGGCAGGCGGGGGGGGGGGGGGGGGGGCGGGGGGGGGGGGCAAAAAAGAAAAACCCCGGGGGGGGGGGGGGGGGGGGGGGGGGGGGGGGGGGGGGGGGGGGGGGGGGGGGGGGGGGGAGGGGGGGGGGGGGGGGGGGGGGGGGGGGGGGGGGGGCAAGAGAAGGGGTCAGCAAAGGAACACACCCAGGCGCAGGGCCGGTGAGCGAGAACGAAGAGCAGGCAAACACCCGGAGGGGGCTCCCCGCCGGACGCACCGATTGGCAGGCCATGCATGCGGCAGATTTCGCGCGGGGTGAAGAAACGCGGACGCAGGGCCAGCACCTCCTGGCCGCTGGTCAGGTCAAGCGTGGACTGCGGCAAGAGCGAAGGTCAGTCACCAGGTGCATGTCGTGTGTGGGGCAGGCCGGCGGAGCGAGGCGGGGGGGGGGGGGGGGAGGAAAACGCCATGACGTACCCGATCCGGGCAGGGGCGCGTGGCCAGGAAGGCCCCGCTGCCGAAGATGTGCTGCGAACCGTAGGCCTGAGGAACACCGCAGGGGGGGGGGGGGCGAGAGGGCCCCAGCTCGAGGGTCAGCGACATGTGCACCCAGCGATGGACATAAGTCCGTGGTCAAGGGGGCGCGAGGGGTAAATGTACCTTGGTGAAACACGGCAGGTGGGTGTCCTCCGGGAAAACAAGATCTGCGCCAGGCACCAGCCGCCGCATCACGAGAGGGATAACGATGTCAGACAAACAGGCAAAAGAGGGGAGGGAGCCTAGGGGGCAGAGGCCAGTGCGTCCATTGCCCGGACGCCGGGGAAACGCACCAAACCGGAAGCCCACTGGCCGGGTGATGTACGCCTCCGGCACCAGGAAGGGCTCCTCCTCCTCCGGGGTCAAGGTGTCCAAAAAGGTGGAGATCGGCAGGGCAGTGGCCCCGGTGCCGTCGGCCGCGTGCGGGGGTCGCAGCGTGCGAAGCGGCGCAAGCGACCCCTCGCCAGCCAGGCGAGCCTGCAGCAAGTCCGACGGGGAGAGCCCGGTTAGCAGGCAAACGGGACACCATGTCCGGAAGGTAAAATGAGACGAGGGCAGGGGAGGAGGGGGCCGAGGAGGGACCGGGGAAGTTGGACACGCACCAGTAGGAAGTAGCGCACGCGCTCATACGGGTAGGTGCCGCCGCCATGGCCACTGCCACCGCCGAGCGCTCGCGGACTGGCCATCCACTCCTCGACCGCATACCCGCGGCTCAGGAGAACCGACACCAGACGCGCACGGCTGCGCGACCGCTCGAAGCCGGGCACATTCTCCAGCAGCAGGTACTTCGGCAGGGGCGGGTATGCCGGGGGCCGCGGGGCAGCCGGCACACCATCGGCTGGACCACCGGCCGTGGTGGATGCCGCCGCCGCCGCCGCCGCCGCCGCGTCCTCCAGCGTGCGGGGCAGCGCGGCCAGGATGCGCACCAGGCGCAGCAGCCCGGTGGACCGGAAATCCGCATCATCGCGCGCCCGGCCGCCGCGAGTGTACGGCTGGCAGGGCGGCGACAGGAGCCACACGTCCGCCCGGGGGAGCTGCTCCGGTCGCAGGGAATCGATCGAGCGTCGCATGGCCGGCAGGCCGAAGTTGTGTTCGTACGCGGCGTTGGCTCGGTCATTCAGGTCGAAGGCGGCCGCCACCCGGGGGCGCAGGCCCAGCACCCCTGGAGCCGCGCCCTTCAGCCCGGACGGATGGCCGGCGGGGTATGCCGCGGGCGAGAGGGCCGCGCACAGACCCATGTGCTGTGTCATTCGATGTCCCCCCCCCCCCCACACACACACACACATACATACATACACATACACATACACGTAAATAGATACGTGAACGCATGCACGGCCATCGCACAGGTCAGTGATCGAAACGGTCAAAATGGCCCACACAGCCCAGGAACCACGCACCAGACCACCGAGCCCGGAGAAGAACTCCAGGGCAGTCAGCACTCCGGGCTTCAGCGGGCCAAGGGCTCGGCTGCCGGCCGGGACGTCCGTGCCGCAGATCGAGCAACCGGTGGCCTCCGGCACGCCGGTGGCCTCCGCGCCGCTGGACATGGACGCCAGGCAAGCGCCACACACGTCCGGCCAGGCCGGATGGTAAAGCGGCTCCGCGCAGAGGACCGGCGCACCGGGCACCGATAGCGGCGGATCGGCAGGCATACTCGGGAGCAGATGGCGGGGAGGGCCAGACGAGGGAGCGGCAGAGGGGGGAAACAAAAAACGGCAGAAATGGGGAGTGGGCGCGGAGGGAGGGGGGGCAGAGTGTCTGATGGGCCAGTCAGGTTGGCTCCCGGGGACCCTCATGACACTGGCACTGATAAGCTCGGCCCCGGCGGGCCGCCCCTCTCCCCCGTTCGGCTCTCCCCCGTTCGGCTCCCCCCCCCCCCCTCCCCCCCGAGGGAAAGGAAGGCTGGAAGATCGCCGCCATGCCTTCCTACATGAGGGCTAGGGTACTTCTCGCCGGTCCCCTCCCGCGGCGGTTCTCGCCGGCCACCGGGACGCAGCGGCAATCTCTTCACCCAGCCGGCCCCCGCCCCTCTCCCCCCGGGCCTCACGCCCGCAGGCGGGCGACGAAGGGGGCGGCGACAAGGGCGCGCCGCACATGGCGTGTTTTACTTTGAGAACACATTCTGCATGTGTGGAAGCGCGGGAACGAGTATCGGGTGTGCGTTGGCAGTCCCGGGTGTAATTCACGTCCCTCTTTTGTTATTTCTTAATTCGCTCGAGGGGCCATTTTGGCGTCCCTCTCGATGCCTTTTTTGCCGAGACCCTCACGCCTCCCGGGGGCGCCTCCCGGGCCGGAGGCCAAAAATGCCTCCATAGCCCACATCTCCGCCGACGGCATCGGATGCACCGGCCATCCGATTGTCCCCCGCGATGTGAGCCGCCGGCGCGGGTCCTCCTCCAGGCGCCTGTCCCCTCTGGCGGCCCTGACGCAGGAGCAGCGGAAAGGGGCCGCCGCAGGAGCCGAGGCGCTGGTCGGCTCAACAGCAAGGCAAGCCACGCCTTGTCGCGTGGGAAAGTCCCGCCAGACACATGCCCCCTCCTCCTCGCACTAAAAACAGAGGCTCCACGCCTTTCTCCTCGCCTTGCGCCCCACCCCGAGGAGGGGGGAGCCGCGTCCATGCGTGCTCCACACACGGCCGCATGGCGGGTTGAGAGTCCCCCATCACACGCACGGCGGGGCCTTGCCGGTGAAGAGATGGACGTCGGCGCGCGCTGTGCGGCAGGGAAAACAGATGGTATGGTCTCCCGAAAAGGACGGGCGCGAGCGGACACAGGGCGCTCCCGGCCTCCAGCGCGCGCGCAAAAAACGACCGCCACCACACATGATGCCCGGGCGCACACAGCGCGGGAGAGAGAGAGAGAGAGAGAGAGAGAGAGCCAAGGAGACACCCTCGCCCGCGGCCCACACACACACAAACAAGGGAAAAGACAGGGAGAAAACAAAACAAGGGGGATCTTATGTGAAAACGGTTGATTTATTCGGCGGCGGCCACAGAGAGAGAGCCGCCCCCGCCCCGCCCGGCAACTGGAAGGGAAGTCGGGGAGGAGGGGGGCCCTAGCCAGGGACGCAGCCGAAAGAAAAAACTGAGGCACTTTCTGTCAACAACAAGGGGGGGGAGGATAATGTTGGCAGGGAAATATGTCGGGGGAGTGAGCATCGGCCAAGCCAGACCAAGGGACGCCAGCAGCCCCGGCCCCCCCCCGGCCCCCCTCCAAGGAGAGGGGGGAAGGGGGAAGAGGCGGGAAAGCTGGCGGATGGCCTGGCGCACAGCGGCAAGGGACGTGGGGCCTGGTCCGGCGCGCACCGGCCCACACCAGGCACACGGGGCGGGAGAGAGAGGGGCATAGGCCCTCCCCTCTTCGCCACGGGACCCGGCGGGGCGCTGATGGAAGCGCGCGCACGGGGGGGGGACACGCCCCTGCACAGCTGTGTGACAGCGGAGGCAAGGGGGGAGGGGGAAGACTCGTCCACTTCCCGGGTGGGACCCAAACAGTACGGGCCGCAGGCTGGAGGATGAGACAGCCCGACGACCAGCGGTCTATGTCCCTGTTAGGTGTCCGGGGAGTGGGGGCGAGCCGCCTCCGCTGTCGCGGCGCGATTCACTTACTTAGAGCGCTGGCGCATCTTTCTGCGCTTACGCTTGAGGCGGCGCTGGCGCTTCTTTCTCCACTTATCACGCATCCTCTGCGGATACGCGAGAGAGGAAGAGAAGGGGGGCTGAGTCAGTATGGGCGGCCTCGGGGGATGGAGCGAGCGAGAGGGGGAGCAGGGGTAGGGGCATCAACAGCAGCAGCAGCAGCAGCACCACATGCGCCCGCGTGCGCGCTCCAGAGCGTGAGGATCAAGCGGACTTCATCGTGTCGGCGCAGGGTGCCAGCAGCGCAGCAGGGGGGAACAGCTGCGCCGCCGGGGGGATGTGCGCGGCAGAGAGGAGGAACCAGATGGTCGCATCATGCGGGCGGAGGATGGGGCGCGGGTGTGCGTGCGTGTGCATGGGCAAGTGGGCGGGGGGGGAGAGAAGGGGAGGAGGGTTTGTACGAACGGATCAGAAACAAAAGGTAAGGGGGGACCAAAAGTTTCTCCGAGGTCTAAGCCCCAGGGGAGTGTGGACCTGGTGCCGCCTTTTATACTGGAGTGCTGGCTGCCTGCTCCCCGTCCTTGCCGCTCCCCGGGGGGAGGGCGGCGGCCCGGCGCCGGGCCCGGAAGTCCACAACCCCCGCACGCAGACACGGACATGGACACACACACACACCGACCCTACCCCCCCCCC